CTATCGCTGAAGGCTTGGCTGCATTTTCTAGAACCATTTTCAGAGAGCTGTGACAATGCACGCAGTTACAGGTGTGAGAACAAAACAGGAAGTATTTACTTGAGTTGAAGGTGAGTGCTACCAACTAAAGGTCCAGACTTGGGTTTCATTCCTGTTCTGCCATGAGAAACTAGTGGCCTCCAGCAGTTAACCATTCTGAATCTGTTTGCTCATCTGTGTCCTAGGGTTTTCTTGGAGGTGGGGGTGGGGTGGGGAAGAATGAACGCTAAGTCTGGTACAAATATTCGATTTTTTTTTTTTTTTTTTTTGAGTGAGCATGTTCATACTCATGTCAGCAGGCCTTTGAGTCTCTAGAAGTGAACATTTAGAGAAGTCTTCCTGTTGGTTCCAAATGCTCTCAAAGCGGGTAAAGCAGTTGAGGGTATGATACACCCCTAATTAGATAGTATTTTTATCTGGTGGTACAGACAGGTACAGGCCTAGCATCTAAGCAGCGGCTAGCTCACAGCCAATCTTCAGCCACCTGCAAGAAAGATTTTACTTGCCCTACATCCTTGGGAGGGAGCTCTGGTGGTGCAGCGATTAAAGCATTTATCTGCTAACCAAAAAATGGAGGGTTTGAACCCACCAACTGCTCTGCAGGAGAAAGATGAGCCAGTCTGTTGTAAAGATTTACAGGCTTGGAAACTCTATGGGGCAGTTCTGACCTATAGGGTTGCTGTGAGTCAAAGCTGACTTGATGCTACTGGATTTGGTTTTTGATATCCATAAGCCACCCTAAACAGTCATGTGCACATCTGTATGTTAGGTCTAATAGCTGCAGCTTCCAGTGACCTCCAAAGCAAATGATAATGTTGTTAGGTGCCGTCAAGTTGGCTCCAACTCATAGTGACCCTATATGTACAGCAGAACAAAATATTGCCTGGTCTTGTCTCAGCCTCACAAACCTTGCTATAACTGAGTCCATCGTTGCAGCCACTGTGTCAGTCCATCTTGTTGAGGACCTTCCCCTTTTTCACTGACCCACCATCTTACCAAGCATGACATCCTTCTCCAGGGAATGGTCCCTTCTGACAACATGACCAAAGTAGGTCAGACAAAGTCTGGCCATTCTTGCTTCCAAGGAGCATTCCAGCTGCACTTCTTCCAGGACCGATTTGTTAGTTCTTTTGGCAGTGGTACTTTTTGCAATGGTACTTTTAGTATTCTTCGCCAACACCACTACTCAAAAGCATCACCTCTTCTTTGGTCTTCCTTATTCATTGTCCAGCTCTCACATGCATATGAGGTGATTGAAAATACCATGGCTTGGGTTAGGAGCACCTTGGTCTTCAAGGAGACATCTTTACTCTTTAGCACTTTGAAGAGGTCTTTTGCAACAGATTTGCCCAGTGCAGTATGCCATCTGATACCGACTGCTGCTTCCATTGGTGTTGATTGTGGAACTAAGTAATACATAATCTTTGACAACTTCAATCTTTTCTCCAATTATCATGATGCTACTGATTGGTCCAGTCATGAAGATTTTCATTTTCTTTGTGTTGAGGTGTTATCCACACTGCAGACTGTACAGTCTTTAATCTTCATGAGTAAGTGCTTCAAGTCATCCTCACTTTCAGCAAGCAAGGTTGTGTCATCTGCATACCGCAGGTTGTTAATGAGTCTTCTTCCAGTCCTGATGCCACGTTGTTCTTCGTATTCTTCATATAGTCCAGCTGCAAATGCTAATAGTGATGCCAATTTTCTCTTTCACTCTGAACTCCCTAGGGGCCACCTTGAAGAGATGGCCATTTCTAACCACAATATTGCTTGCTGCAAGCTAATGCTCAGCTCACTTCCATTGCCTGAGTTCAAAGCTCCAGATGTGTGCCAGCTGTTACTAGCATAATTAGTAACATGTAATGGCTGCACTATCATTCAGGATTTCAGGAGAACAAGTAATTTGCTCCAACTTTCTTACCAGTTGGTGGCCTTATATTAACTAATAGGTGTGAGCAGTGACAGAAATGCCCTTTTGACTTTAGTATTCCATGAAGTAGCTTTAATACTTTGTGATGGTACTAACATAAAGCAAATCTTACCCTCCCCCTTTATGCACTATTTATTTAGAATTATCAATATGCTTTCTTAGGATCTCAATAACCTTTTTCTTTTATAAAAAATAGTATTATGTTGTTAAGAACATACACAGTAAAATACACATTCATTCAACCATTTCTTTATGTACAATTCAGTGACATGAATTACATTCTTTGAGCCATGCAACCATTCTCACCATCCTTTTCTGATGTGTTCTTTCCAATGAACGCAAACTTACTGCCCCCTAAGGTTCCTATCTAATCTTTTGAGTTGCTGTTGTCACTTTGATTCTGTACAGATATTTCTTAAGAGAGCATTATGCTCAGGGCAGATATTTTTTACTAGTGAAACTATTGTTTGGTTTTAAGAAGATGTCAGGGGATATTTTTAGTTTAAGCTTTTAAAAATTTTCTCAGGGCAACAGTTTCAGGAGTTCATCCAGCCTCCATGGTTCCAGAAAGTCTAGAGTCCACAGGAATTTGAGATTCTGTTCTGCATTTCCCTCCTTTGACCAGGATTCTTTTAGAGAATCTTTGATCAAAATGTTCAGTAATGGTAGCTGGGCACCATCCAGTTCTTCTGGTCTCATGGAAAATGAGGCAGTTGTTCATGGAGGCAATTAGTCACATGTTCCATATCCTCCTGCTATTCTCAATTCTCCTTCCTCTGCTGCTCCAAGTGAAAAGAGTCTACTTGTCATGCCTTGGGTGACCACTTGCAGGCTTTTAGCAACTTTTCACTCTAGTTTAAACTTGGCAGTGGGGTATAAGGTGAGGAATGGGACAGCAAGCTTAAAGAACAAACCTGAATGGTGCTAACCTTATTCAAGACTGCTCTGAGACTCTTCTAACAATTACTGAGGGCTGATATTTTAATACTGATCCTCATTATATTAAGTAGAAAGAAACCTATATAGTGGGATTTTTATCAGAGAGCAAAAGAAGAGATGGATGGTAACTTAGAACTGTTAGCAGGGCTTTGAGCACTTGGATTCCCAAGGGTGGATAAAAGGATGTTAAATGAGACTTTTTCCTTTTCAGCTGTATCCCAAAGTTCAGGGTAAAAATTGGCAAGCCCCTCCATGTGTAGCAACCTGGTATAGGGAGACTCACTGAGAAGGGGACCAAAGCTTTTGCCGATTTTCCTCTTCCAGTGGGGGCAGGGGTGAGAGACAAAATACTGGAGAGTACCGAGTTCCTGAAAGGGTCTATCAGAGTACTGTGGGTTCACCAGCTTAGTGAGGGGGATATTTTATGAGATCCTCTCGGTGCTTGACAAGTGTCTACTGGGATTTAGAGAGCACAAGATTTGGGGTGTCCGATTCTTAGCTAAAACACATCTCTGGAAAGTCTTAACTGCACAACAAAGAGAATGATCCAGTGAGAAGTCACCACTCTGGGAAAGAGTGGATGCCTTGGAAGGTCGAGTTATCCTAAAAAGGCCCTCATGCAACAGGATGAGGGGGAGCCAAGGTGGGATCTACTGTGAGACCAGAAGTCAGGGAATGTAGGCAGTCAGGTGGCGAGCAGAGAAGCTGCATCTGAGAATGTTCAGTGGGAGGTTTCCTGTGGGAATGTCTCTTTAAGAATTCACATATGGCCTGGGAGAGAGAAAGAGCCAGCTTTGAGGCATGTATCAGTCAGAGGGCCTCAATTCTAGATCATAACCTTTCCATGCACAGAAGTCGGACTTTACCCTTTTCCTCTGGTTTCTACCCCCTAACCCTTGCCAGACCCTACAAAGGCCAAACACAGCAGCATGGCTGACTGCAGGCAAAGGAAGCAGAAGCCAGGAGGAAGGAAGAAGCCCTATTCTGACATACACACACATCACAAGCTCACTACTGGCTCCCAAGCCTGGGGCAGGAGGGATATTGTTGGGGGCTGTGGAGTTCTGATTCGGAGCGACCCTGTGTGACAGGGTGGAACTGCCCCACAGGGTTTCCTTGGCTGTAGTCTTCACGGAAGCAGATCACCAGGTCTTTCTCCCTCGGAGCCACCGGGTGGGTGCAAACTACCAACCTTTCAGTGAGTAGCCAAGAGATTAACCATTGCGCCACCAGAGCTCCTTATGCAGGGCAGATAGAGATTAGTATTTTTACTTTAGACTTAAGTGGACTTTTTAAATACTTGAAAATGAGACCTTAAAAATAGCTATGGATGACTGGGGAGGGAAAACAAACAAACAAACATGGATTCTGTCTAAGATAACCTAGGGGCAAAAAAGGAGAAGTCAGTCAACATCACATTTCCAACACTTTTAACAAGGTGATTATACAGGTTGCTTAGCTCATTACTAGAAAAGGAAAAACCAAGGGAAGTTCTCTGGTAGTCCTGAGAGGCCCAGGAATCCTGTATCCTGTAGAACTCCCTCCTCATTTATATATTCTGGTACCAAGGAGGAATTTGAGAGAGCATTTATAAGGGTGATGATGGTGCCTGATTTCAACTATAAGGAGCAGCCCTGCTTCTAAAAAGTCTCAGAGTTCATTAGGTAACCAGAAATTGCTACTAGTCTTTCCCTCCCACATCAAGAAACACATTTTACATCATGACCCAGTAAAGGCACAAATAATTCAAACAAAAGTTTCATGAAATAACACACTCCAGACTACACTCTGATGTTTTCTATTCTATTTCACTTTAAAAAATACAGGTCTATTTACCAGTGGCTCTAGAACCACAGTTTGAAAAACATATGGTATATTTCCCTGAAGTATTGGGGTCAAGGGGTAGCAACTGGCTAGCAGCAACAGCCAATACTGTGTGCTTATTTCCAACACCTCAAATGACGCCTGTAGCAGGTTTTATCATTCCTACTGCTCCCTTCCCTAAAGAAGGCACCAATCTTAGATTCTGTAAGATCCCTTTAATTTAGCCTTTAGTAGCAGTGAAATACAAGCAACAAAGGAGAAATGTGACTTCAGGAGCTCTGTAAATGCCTCTATGAAGAACACCGTAGATTTCCAAGTGTAGCTCCAACTTCAAATGTTCCTATTCTCTCATTGGCCATGTCAGTTTGAGAAAGCACGAACAAAGGTATAGTAGTTGATGTTGCCTTCTTCGTGAGAGCATATCCTGATTAACTGCAGAGGAGAAAAGGGAGCAGGTGAGACAGACGCGCGGGGCCGCCTTCACCTCAGCTGCAGAGCACACACATGAGGCCAGGCATCTGGTACCTGTTCAGAGTTTTTAATATCCTCAGTTAATTCTGAAATGATCCTGGGAACCTGGTAGGTAGGTCGGACACTATCCTCATTTTACACTCCTCATAAGGAGTAAATAGCCTGCCCAAGATTTAAGGACTAACATTTGTATTTATAAACAGCATTGTCATTTTCAAAGCACTTTTAACCGTTTTTAGATGCAAATACAAGATTATACCCACCTAGTCTGTGTGGATTAAAACTCTTGAAAGAGTAGGCACCTGTTATCACAGCCTGATGGAAGCCTCTAGTTATGTCAAACTGTATCCCGATACAACTGTGAGTGGTTTGCAGCAGTTTCCTTTATGAGACAAGTGCAAACCCACCTGGAGCACGTCCCACCCACTACCACTCCACCCTCCCATGTCAGCTACCGATGGTGTGAATGACTTGAGAGTCGAAAGCTGGGCATGCTGTCAGTTTGAGGTTTGGGAAGCTAGATGGATGTTTGAGCCACATGAACAAATACCCTTCCATCTTTCTATCTGCCCTGCCCCCAATTCCTTGCTAATGTTCCTATCCATGAAAAATCCTCCAACTTAGTCATTGTTCTAGCTCTAAACCATTGCTTTCTCTAAGACAGTCTTCTTCTGAGCACCCTCTTTCCTCAAAAGATCTTTTAAAAGGCCTACAGCATCTCATTGTTTTCAATCCATAAGAATGTCTCAACATTAATAAGCCACAGTCCTTGGCAACTGTGGGAGAGATTTTTGTTCTGACTTCCAGGGTAACCTTGGCTGTTGTTGTTGTTATGTACCGTCAAGTCGGACCCGACTCGTAGTGCCCCTCCTTGGGTTTCCGAGGCAGTATCACTACAGAAGTAGATTGCCCAACCTTCTTTCCAAGGAGTGGCTGGTGGATAGAGGGGCTTATAATGAAGGAGGGGCACAAAATCCCTCTTCAATTCACCCATGGAAATTCTAGGAGAACAATTTCCATGCCTTTCTTCCATTTGCAACCCAGAAGGCTCCCCCTATGGAGCAGCCACTGTTGCCTCAGACGCTGGTCACACACTCTCCCATGCTGGCCCTACTGATGTGCTATCTTAGGTATCTGTGGTGAAGGGCATCAAAGACACTCAACGACCCATCCTGCTCATCGTCTTAGCAGCTACCCCCAAGACCACTGCCGCTGCCCTCCTTCAACCCTGACATCTTAGCCTACCAGCCACTCCATGTTGTCTAGTCCCATGCTCACTTAAAGAGAGATTTTTGTTTCCTTCCCTGGGATAGCAATTAGAAGAAAGATGCACATGCTAGAATCAAGGAGAAAATGCCATAATCAGGATAAGGTACCAAGTTTGAACATCCTAAATCTTCCCCAGTTAAAATGAAATATACATCCTTTGGGAGTAATGAATGGCGCTCAGCCTCTACAATCAACCAACTCCTTTTACTGACCTCCTTAACCAAGGAATCATCAATTGGGATGTTAAAAGATTCACAGATTTTAAAGAACATCTCTCGGTCCACATATCCTGAAGCTTCCTTGTCATAAACTTGAAATGCCTCTCGAATGTTGTCTTTACACGAATAGTCTTTCAGTTGCTTCTGGATTGTGTCTATTAATGCTTCCAGTTCCCTCGTGCCTGGATCCTCTTCAGTTTGCTTGCTGTAGAGAAAGGAAGGAAATCACTGGACATGTATTTATTTTTAACCAATCTTATTTCAGTGACCAAAGTTCTCAGTTGGTGGAGTTCTCAGTTGGGGAAGGTTCTAATGACAAACAGCTTTATTGCTGTGCTGACTCAGCAGTAACTACTCAAAAAATGAAATTAAGTAGGCACTTGCCTTTGAGGGCTGATGGCTGACTTCCACATCAGAAAGGCCTGATTGAGGGGCAGATTTTGAACTGAAGCTCAGCTTCCCTTCCTGCCATCTGTTAAATCACTGCACTGCAAGGGACCAAATAATACCACCACCATCCCAAGTTTGGTGTTAGTGGGAGTCACATGATTCTCTCTTAATATTGTTGCAGGTTAATGTTACATGATCTAAAAATAAACCTCCCTGGTATATGAAACTATGCAGCAGAGAGTCTCTTCTAGTTTTCACCCCCTCTCCAATTCACTGAATTTTGTGAAAGGTTTTCTAGGGAAGTTACGGGACTGCTCTGTGGTGCAGTGAGAAGTACAGGTTTAGCATTTACTGCAATGAAGAGTGAGTAGTAACCCAAAGCATTAGAAACAGGGAGAGCTTTCCCTTTAAAACACAACCACAATTTATGGCAGCCCAAATTCTATTTCCTCTGAACATGAAGATACAGTTATAAAATTATAGAATTTGGGAGTTAGAAAAGACCTCCCCCCATGTTTCAACTTCTCAAAACTTTGGAACAAAAGGGGACACCAAAAAATCCTCAATAAGCACCACAACCCCCACCCCTTTTCTGATGATGAGAAAACAGACTCAAAGATCTAACTGGCTTATCTCAGATCTCATGTCAGAGCAGAGAGCAGAACTCACATCCCAACCCAGTTCTAACATGCTCTTCTTACAAGTATGCCCAGCCGCCTCATGGTGCATCTCTCTCCTGTACAACCCACCACTGCTTTTCTGTTCTTATTTTTCCTTGTTTATAATATTTAAAATTTCACCATTACAAATAGGCTTTTTTTAAAAAACAAAATACTGTTCCCACTTTTCATCTACTGGCCATCCTTGCTGGAAAAGGTATAAAGTGGCACAATGTTTCTGGAACAATTTGGAAACATGAAGCAAAAGCCCAGCAAACAATTTCAAATAATGTAGGCTGGGTTGCATTCAAAGATATATCTATCAGACTATTTTTGGACATTCAAAAATAGGAACTTAATTAAGTAATATACACTACAATCAGTATAATAATAATGCAGCCAATTACTGACATTGCTGTAGAAAAATGGAAAAACATATACTGTACGTGAGAAAAGTAAGGCACAAAAGTCTATATACACAAAAGTCTATACTTTTAGTGTAAAAACTGTAGGGGGAATAAGAACACATACTTAAACTTGCTGTGAATTAAACAAACTGAAAAGATAATAATAATAAAAAAATAATAATGAAAGAAATAGTTACCTCTGGGGAGTGGAGAGTAAGATCTAGGTGAATGAGGACTGAATGGAAGCAAAACTTTTCACTAGTGCCTTCACATATAGAAATTTCCCAAATAAATGCAGTAACTACTCAAAAAATTAAACTATTAATGCTAATAATGTACTTCATAATACCATAAATCTTCATGCTATACCATTACATTAAAGAAGCAGGTAAAACAGTATGACGGAACTACTCCATTGTATGTTGCTGTTGTTAGGAGCTGTCAAGTAGCCTCTGACTCATGGCAGCTTTCTGTGTAATGGAACAAAACACTGCCTGGTCCTGAGCCATCCTTGTGATCCTCCGGTCCAGGAAGCTCACCCTCCAGCACTATAGCCTACAGTGTTCTGTTGTGATCCATCACATTGTCATTTGCTCATTTTCAGAAGTAGATCACCAGGGCTTTCTTCCTAGTCTGTCCTAGTCTAGAAGCTCTGATGGAACCTGTCCACCATGGGCACCCCTGTATGTGAAATACCAGTGGCACAGCTTCTTCTAACATCGTAGCAATACACAGGCCATTACAGTATGCTAGTGATGACAAAATGACAGAAGGGTGGTGGATCCCATTGTCATGCATATTAAAAATACTAGAAACAGTCATCACTGGGTTATGGGATTTAAAAAAATTGTTTTATTTTTGCAGTGTTCCCTCCCCTCCTCTCCTACATTATGGGATTTTTTAAAAAATCCCTTTGTCTATTTCTATTTGTATCTGCTATTTTTTTTTTTCCCCCTTCAGGGCATATGTTACTGTTGTAGTAAGGCAAAAAAAAAAAAAAAAAATATAAAAATGTCCAATATCTAAATACTCTCAGGCATTATTTATTACAGAAGAATATTTTTAACTGATGGGTAAAACTCCAATCATATAAACTATATTATGAATGACTATCAGGGCAGAAAGCAGTCAAACTTCAATCTTCCATGTGTTCCCATTCATTTTCTGAAAGAGATGGTAACTCCCTCTCTTAAGAAGAAGCCAGATACCCCATTTCCCCTTTATACAACAGAGAAAATGCCCATGTCATCTGCTATCTTTGAGTGAGATGGAGTGAGTTGACAGACTGCAACAAGTGGTACTGTTTAAAGCAGAAGCTACAGCTTTGGTAGTTAAAATTATAGCCCTGACTTTGTTTATAGCCAGACCCAACCTGGGTCTATACTGGAGAAGAACTGCAAATCCTAGGGTAAGATTTTGTTCCCATCAGTTAACAAGGAAATGCAAGGACCAGCCGGCTGTTTATCCTTAATAGGGGCTGCTGGGAGGCAGCTGGGCTCACAGAGCCCATAGTTCTCATACGTGAGAACTCTACGCCAAGCTCTACCTTTATTTTCCATAAAATCAGATGGCAGTTTTATAGGGTGACTAATCTTCCATTGGTAAGAGGGATGGGATGTCACAGTATTTAGTCTCAGAATATTTTGCTACATGCAAAGTCCTGCACTTAGCAAGAACTGAGTGGAATTCACTTATTTGCTTAAAAACCAAAGTCTTCAATCCTGTTCTTCCTTTTCTATTTTGTTTCCTTCTGGTGATGGGCAACTCTTACATACCAATAGTGTATCAGAGCTCTGAAGTGTGGGCATGTCAATGGCAAAGTTTTCTGTGGACCCTGGCCTGATCTTAGCTCTTGATCCAGGACTTCCCCTTTGCCCTGATGAAAATAAGCCCACTCCCAGGACAGGAAGTCACTTGCCCAAGGGTCTTCAAGTAGTTAGGAATCTTTTTTTTATATGCATTTTATTGAAATATAATTTATGTACAGTGAAATACACAAAACTAAAGTGACATGGGTCAATGCATTTTTTTTTTTTTTTTGCAGTGTTCCCTCCTCTCCCCTCCCACCCCTGGCAACCAACAAAGAACGTTTCCCTCCCTATAACAATGAATTAATACTGTATTTGTCTTTCTGTGATTGACTTATTTCACTCAGCATAATGTCCTCCGAGTTCATCCATATTATGTGGTATTTTGCAGATTCTACATTATTCTTTAGTGCTGCATAGCATTCCAGTATGTGTATATACGACAGTTTGGTCATCCACTCTTCCGCTGATGGGCATGTAGGTTGTTTCCATCTTTTTGCTATTGTAAATAGTGCTGCGATAAACATGAGTGTACATATATCTGTTCCTGTCCTGGCTCTCACCTCTCTAGGATATATGTCTAGTAATGGGATTGCTGGGTCAAATGGTATCTCTAATTCCAGCTTTCTAAGGAATCGCCATACTACTCTCCACAGTGATTGCATCACTTCACAGTCCCACCAGCAGTGTATGAGAGTCCCAATCTCTCCACATCCCCACTAGCATTTGTTATTTTCTGTCTTGTTGAACCTTGCCCTCAGTGCTGGGGTGAAATGGTATCTCATTGTTGTTTTGATTTGCTCTCTGACGGCCAATGATTGTGAGCATCTCTTCATGAATTAGCTGGCCACTTGAATATCCTCCTTGGTGAAGTGTCTATTCATGTCTTCTGCCCATTTTTCAATTGAATTGTTAATTCCTTTGGTGTTGAGGCATTGGAGTTTTCTATAAATCTTAGAGATAAGTCCCTTGCCAGATAGGTAATTATCAGCAAATATGAATTTGTTGCTGTCATTTTTGTTATATGCTTTTTCATGGTGTCAATTTCTTTGTTCCTTATAATTTTCTATGCTGAGCTCGTTTTGTTTATGAATCGTATTATCACTTCCTTTGTTGCTACTGTTTTAGTATTTGCTAAATATTTATGCTGGTCCTCTTTTTTATTTTGATGTGAAAGTTTATCATTTTTCTTTGAGGTTACCCTGTGATTTATAATTCTCTTCCCAAGTTTAGAACAGTCCCTTCTATCTTGTAGTTGTCTTGACTTCCCTACCATCTAGTTCTATAACTACACAGTTTTTTTTCCCCTCTCTTTGGTTTGTAGTTGCCCTCATTTGTCAATCGACGTCTCTGGTTCCCTGTTTACAATCTTGTAGGCTTATTTACTTTGGATACTTCCATAGCTGGGCTGGTAGTCAGGAGTCTTTTCTGGAGAAGAGTATCTCATTTCTTGGTGCTTTTTTCTAGTGAGAGGCAGAATAGCATTGTAGTTAAGACCATGGGCTCTGGCATCTGACTGCCAGATGCAAAATCTCAGCTTTGCTACATGCAGGTTGCATGATCTAGAGTAAATGACTTAAACCACTTTATGCCTCAGTTTCCTCATCTGTAAAATGAAAGCTCTTAAGGAAAGCTACCTCATCAAGGTTGCTTGGAAATTAAATGAGTTATTACATATAAAGTACTTAGCACCTGATACATAGTAGACAATAAATGTTATTAGGTTTTTGAAAAGTTACTTTGACCATCCTGGTAGAGATATTCATTCACTCATCTAGCAACCATTTACTGAACATATAAGGCTCAATGGCAGCTTTTGCAGAGGAGAGGAATAAACTGTTCAGAAATAACAAAGATGTTGTGAAGAACTTGTTCTCTAGTGGGGATTTAAGACACAAAATTTAAAATCCCTAACAGAAGGAAGAATTGACCAGTATAGAC